GTATCGGCTAAGCCTTCACCTTACATAAAACACTTTCCGAGAAAACATAACTCTTAACTCAGCCTTTGGTACCGCCGTGTTCACATGTGATAGGGGCTTTTAGTTTTTTGTGGTCAAATGTCGAAAAAAACAAAAGAAGAATTGTGACAAAGTTTGAGGAAACCAGGGCGCTTCCTTGTTGATCCTTTTTTGTTGCTATAGAAATTGGCGCTCAACATCGCTTCTGTTTGGCCCTGCTAAGACAGTCTGACAATCACAATTTTTAAATGAAAAGCTAATAGATCAATCCACCTATACACACACACACACACACACACACACACACACACACACACACACACACACACACACACACACACGTATATACGCACACACTCTAAAAGCACCTTTTTGTGAAGCTCTGTGATCAACAGTCTGTCTGTGCTTTCAGCAGGAAAAGACCAAGAGCAAGAGAACAAGCCTGACAACACCTTTTGAGACCGGACCAAGTGACTTGTGCCTATGGGGATTAAATTTGTGAACAGAAGCTCTATACACTCACACACATACACACTCACAAAAGTCCCCCACACACACACACTCTGCGGCCGCACGATGCCACAACACCTCTTTCTCAGCTGTGAGTATAAAACCACATTGACAGGAGCCTTGTCCTCTCTTGTCCAATGGTCACGCTGAAATGTTTACCTTTACATACAAATGGCCTGGTGTCATGTTGTGTCACATAATGTTTCATGGACAAATAATGTGTCGCATTTCTCAATCCGCCCTGCAGCCCTTAAGCCCCCTTCTTCTTGGCTTCATAGTCACAGCAACACCCAGGAACCATGGCGGTAAAAAAAAAAAAAAAAAAGGGACCCTGTGTCACCACAGTGAAGTGCCACCCGGAATTAAATCCCAGGGATACAGAGGTGAGCTCAAGCAGCATCGCAGCTCTGTGTTGTGAGGAATGAAATGGAGAAGCAGAAAACAACAGAGGCAAGTTGCTCTTAAATTAAATCAGTGTAGGTTACTTTGTCGTAGTGTACAAAATGTGTCACAAAGTCGGATCTAAAACGGCCCCATTAACGACCGAAGAAACATTATTCCAGCCATGCAGACCCCTTCTTGGTAGGCATTAAGGATTTATCCACACATTTTATAAAACAACATGAACACAGTGCTTCAAATAAAGAATCAGAGTATGATCAGACAGGGTAGCACCAGACACGAGCGACAAAACAGAATTCATTCAAACAACAATGTGACTAATTCTTTAGCAAAACATCCGTCTTTTTAAAGTGATAATTTAATACTTGATATTGAGAGGGAAACAGTAGTGAAGTTTGTAAGCACAGCTAATACGCATGGTATCCCTTCATTCATTTAAGCTGATATCTGCACATTTTGACAGATTAGCCCTGTTTATAACACAAAATCTATATTTTATATAACAATAAATGTATCTAAAACTAACTTTTGTTGTAAAATGTGTGTATAAATCTGTAAATGTTTGCTTTGAGGTAAAGTATTATGGTTATAAACTAATAAAAATTAGATCATTGATGGAGCAAGGACTGTTAGTGAGTGTCGCTAAGGACAGACTGCTAATGTGTATTTTACTTATTTACGTGGTACTTTTACTTGACTTGACTTTCTTATCTTTAAGGTGTTTATTCCCACCAAGATTTTGGAGGGAACATTTGCATTTTCTTTCTCCTCTGCATATGTCCGATGGTGTGGTCATTTATGGAGAGGTGATTGTTGTAGGTTAAAAAAAACATTATGATAGATTTCACTGAACAGAATTACAAAAATGTGAGCAACTCCATGGCAACTTTTCTTATTACTGATGACATGTTGAAGCCTGCGTCCAATACTGTAACAGTCTAAGAAGTAACATAACAGGGAAAGGAACTTCTACATGAGTACTTTGATGTTAAACAGGAGATTACACTTTTGAAGATAGGACTGTAACTTGTAAAGAAGTATGTTTACATTGTGAAAAGGCTCAGAATATATTTGCCTTAAGTTTTTTCTGTTTTTTTTTTGGGGGGGGCACTAAAGAAAACTTTATTCATAAAGATTCCTCTCTCACACGTGCATTGGTGCAAGGCCTCCTTTACACAGTCTCCTTTAGCTCTAATCTAAACTGTCATGGTCAAAGAGTGAAGTCCCAGAGAGACACAGAGCGTCTCCTCCTGTGTTTACGTGTTTACTTATTGTTTCCAATCGTCCCTTTAGTTCTTCTCTCTCGCGCTTTAATGCGATTCTCTCCGGTTCCGCTCGGTCAGAGCGCGGGTCACCGATCCAACGACGACCTCCCCCTCACATTAATTACATTCATTAGCACGCCGGGTGAAAAACAAACAAGCAGTGATTAATATCGAAACTATGGCGAATTCTTTGAAGGCAAACCAAATACGGAGCGACAGCCTTAGGTGACAAATCAAAGAGTAGCTTAATAGAATAATATCATATGACCATATCATACTAATACCATATGTTGATTAATGAATGTAGGGCTTTTCACACTTTCTAAATATTATATGGCATATTGTCTCTCGAATTTATTAATATAAAATAGCCTAGTACCCATAAGATATTGTAGAAAATTTTATATTTATCTTTTTTTTTTTTTTACATTTTTTCTAAAACAACAAATGTAAAAACATAATTATCTAATTTTCCTGAGTAAGTAACTTTATTAAGAGCATTGCAAATATGATGTTCCCACATCTGTCTTTGCATTTGTCATATCCTGTGAAAAATTAATAACAAGAAAAAATAATTTTAAATAGGAATATTTTCTTCAAATTGTTTAAAATGACTAAATTAAAAAGTTAAATTAAAAGTGTTCTTGCCCTTCTTGTACCTTACTGTATTTCTGGACAAATTACCAAAATTAAAATTTGTGTGATATAATAATGTGTTTCTTAAAATAATGCATTCTTACAAAGTCTGTCTTTACACCTTTAGGAAATAAATGAATGCAGCCATGGCTGTGAATACAGAATCAACTTTTGGGCCTAAAAGGATAAAGACAAGACACAATGTATTCCCTCTATGTGTGTAAGAGAGTGAAGACTGAGTCTATAGTCTGTTATCTATAGGAAATGTTTAATTTATTGAAAGCTTGGCTTTTTTTTAAAAATCTCATCAGTTGTCTTTAGTGAATAAACTTTTAAAAGTGGGCTAATATCCTAAATATGACTGTAAAAGTGGTAAGCTAGGGGTTTTTTTATCTAATAATTTTCTGTTAAAAGAATAACATGTTAACACATTTGTTTCCGTGGAGGAGGCTTATCACTTCATGCTAACATATCGTTGACATATACATCCCAAAGTGCTCTAAATTCAAACATGGAGGACTGTTCCCCTGATGACAGTCATTGTTGGTCTGTAACAGATGTAAAGTGGACTATTTCTTGGCTTTAAGTACCCTGTTGAACCTCCGCCTCCTCACAGAAACATTAGCAGCCTATTTATGTTTTGATGTTGTGGGCGCGAGCCGGAGGTCAGGGTCGTAGTGTTGCAGCGCGCGGCGCTGTCTCGCGCTTTGTTCCGCGTGAACCCTGAGACCTGCAGCTGTCTGGAGGGCAGAGTGGAAAGAGAAAGAGGGTTAAGTTTTAAACCGAATAAAGAGACACATTGACTGTTAGATATCCTCGTTTAAATCGTACCTTTGCTCTGGTGAGTGTTTGGTCTGGCCAAGAGGGAATTTAAAAAATATATCTTTCATTTGTTTTCAGTGACAGAAAGATGACAGACGGTGAAGGGAAATGGTCTAAATGTCAAGACTCTACACGAAACGAGTTTTTTTTTATTTTCCTTTAAGCCTACACATAATGTTGCCTTGCCTTTATTTGTGACAGTGAATTGAGGGAAAACATGTATTTATTTATTTATCTATTTATTTGGAAATAAAGCCCATGCTTCCATCTTGCTTTAGGCTATAGTCTTTAAGCTGAAGTATGGCACTGGTGCCATATTTGTCTCAACCTTTCACTAAAACTGTATTTATTTTTTTCTGATCTACTGAAGTTTTTCGTATAGTCAACGTCCTCTGCTCATTTGTCTTTCACTTCTCTTTTGATGCCAGCTTTTATTTTTAGACCCGTGTTTAATGTATTTGTTATCAGTATTGGTTTGAGCACTGAGATCATTTCATAAATGAAAGATTGAACAGAAGAGGAAATTCTTTTTTGAAATTGTTTTTTAAGGTTTTTTTGTATTGGGTTATGGTGGGCCACAAAGTCGTCCTAAAGCAGATATTCTAACCAAGATGACCCCTCAGTTGATCTAAACGACTTTAAAACTCTCCCTCTTGAATGTTTGTCTCCTTTAATAAAACGGAAGAGCCAAAGCGAGACACATGTTCAGGAAATCTCCACTGTCATTGTTCCGCCAGATAACTATAGTTCTCGATGAGAAGTGAACAAAGCGGCGAGTATCAGTATGAGTGGAAATTTTCAGTTGGCAAATTAATATTGAAATGAAAGTTTGTGCGTTCACAGGTGTGTGTCTGCTGCGAACAATGAGAGGCGAGCACCGGAACTATCCGTTTTGTCACAAACACTTTACACCCAGTAAGGGGCAGGAGGAGGAGGAAGACTTCACTCTCCAACAGCAGAGCGGTGAAGGTGAAGTTGTAGCTCAGAGTACTGCACCTGCTCCACCGTCTCCGTGCGTAATGCGTGAAGTGCGCCGTGCGTAACAGGTGTATACTGGCAAAGGAGGAGAGATGTTTGGAGAAAGTCCTTTTAAAGGCTCTCTTGGAAGATGCTGAAAAGACACATGAGATATTAAGAAGCAACTTTCTCTTGTTTTAAGCAAAACTACAAAACTACTCTGGCATTACGCATAGGATTGAACATTACCTGCTTATATTTCTGTCTTGTGTCCCACAGGAAATGAGTCAAACATAAAAGAAGGGTAGAGGGGGGGAGATAGCGAGAGAGAGAGAAGGGGGAGAGTTGGGCGGGGGCGGGAAAGTTTAGTAAAGTGGAACTTGGTAACAGATGCGAGTGAGGGAGGCGCGGCCCTGCAGGGAAGGGTGGAGATGCATGATGTGTGTATGTCAGCATTAGCCGTGCGCAAGCGTGTGCACGTGTATGAATTTGTGTGTGTGAGCTCGTGCAGGGAGGAAAAAGGGGACAGGACATGAGCGCACATTGCGAGAGCGGCTCTTTTTACTCGGCGTGATCATTTCACGCTTCCCCCCGAAGCCTTTTTTCCACCTAAAGCGTTTAGTTGCAGCTGACTGAACACTTGCAGGGTGTGCAAGAGGGAGCGGAAGGGTCGAATTATTTCAGCCTACAAGTCGCCCCAAAAAGTACTGTAGGACGAAAGGGGGGAAAAGGGGGGAGAGGAAAACTGTGCCAGGGAGTGAGAGAGAAAGAGGGGGAGAGAGAGAGAGAGAGAGGGGAAGAGAGGGAGAGGTAGACACCGGAAAAAGTTTTTGTGCTTTTCCTTTTTTTTTTTTTTCTTCCCGTTATCGCCTCCCCCTGTTCTAACCGGGCAACATGGATCAGGGGCCCAAGAGTCCTTCGCTGCGGCTGGGGAGAGCAGGTAGGGTCGCACCGGTTCAGCTTAATTCCAATTATATGTAGAGTTGAATTCATATTTCCTATATGTCAACAGGTTTTGTGTTGTTTTTTTAAATTTACGTTGTTTTAAAAAAAAATATATTTGTTGCTAATGTAAAACTTTTAAATAAAAGTTGTGGAAGTTTGTTGGCAGATAAAAGAGATTGAAAATGCTTTTTTTGAGAAATGTTGGTGATGTCATGATTTACTTAAACTTTTAACAAAGTTTTCTGAAGTAGTCCTAGTTAGTGGAAATAGGACAAACTGGAGTCTTAACTTTGAAAGTGAACTTTTTTAATCACTTTTTGTTTATCCAAGGTTGAGGCTTTATGACTTTTTGTGGGCCAGTGATGGAGTCAGGATAATTAGCAAGAACTTTGTCTGTACAAGTTTTTTTTCTCTCTCTTAGGAGAAAATTTGATTGGATAGTTTTATAGTTTTCCTGGTATATTTATGCTGTTTCAGATTGTTCTTTTTTATGCCAATGTATGTGGCCTAATTTATGGGTGTGAGTTGGTATCATCTCTGCCTGAGAGGGGATTACATATTAGATTTGCATTCATGATTTAAGACACTTTTGGATACCTGCAAGACTGTGGATGTGTGTGTTTTTTTATTGCGTAGAGAATAACGCACAGATGTGTTGGAGCATGCAATGTGTTGCTGTGTTTTTCTGAGATGTTTTACGAGAACCAAAGTGACGAACAATGAAAGCTGTGTTTCTTTCTTTCAAGTTGAAGCTGCAGGATGATTCAGACCAAAATCACTCTCTGAATGAGTCTGCGTTTGACTCTTTCCTTGCCTATGTGCATGGCTTTTATTCAACAGGTTCATCTGCTCTAGGCCTATTCATAAACCAGCGGGGTCTGGTACAGCAATGGATCAGGCCATCGACCTTGTTATGGCACCCGATGGGTATCACATCATTTCATATTGCTGCCCGCTGCGTCTGCATTGATAAAACGTCGTTTGTCATTAAGAAGCGGTGGGCAGGTGATCCTCTGAGGAAGAGCATTGTGTTTCGTTGAAGTACTGATGATTCCTCTTGATTGCCTGGCACTGAGACTATGGTTATGCATGCAAAGAAGATGTTAAATACAGTTTTTCTTCAATGGAAACACTGCATTATTTTTCATATTAACCTGCACAGTATTTGTTTTAGGAGTCGTGTTGGAGCCTAACACGTCGTCCCATAGTTAAAATACATTAGCTTGTGCCCGGCCTTCTATGTAAATTGGTCATCAGAGAAAGCCTAAGACAAATCATGCCCTCTTTGCAGTCTTTTGTGGAGTGGGCCTTACCCCTGATAAACGATGAATGCTTTGGGATTTGTAGCAATTGGATAATAACCTTTTAACCGCAGAGGAAATCAGAGTTTAAAGGAGGCCCTCCCCTGTTGGCGTGTAAAGTCTTCAGGGCCCAAAGGCCTTCACCTACAGCCTCTCTATTTTACTCTCACTTTAAGAAACGTGCTCGGGGTACAAAGGAGACTCAGTAGAATGAACGTGAATCCAATGAGAGCCCCTTTCTTCCCGCCCTGCAGGTTGGTCGTGCGTAAAAGTGCGCAAAGGCCGATTCTTTACCAATAAGCGGAGCCGCCATTTCGGTCTGTGTTTGGCAAGATGTGGGCGGTGGGGCTGATGGTAAATTATTATTTTTGAATAAAAGAAGGGCAAAGGCATTTTTCAGAATTTGTTATTGTTTTGCTTGCATCTTTTACATTTGAAGGTCTTATAATTTTAAGATCCCCCCTCCCCCCATCAAAGACAAAAAATGTTCCCAAATTTGGATTCCATGGTGGTATTGAGGTCTGATTCTCACTGAGGAGCACCGATTTCCACCTTACGTGTCATCCTCAATCAAGAGTTTCCCCACACCTCCAGACAATTAGGACCTGAATAATTATACATTTTTTTTATACGTAATTTTGATTTTTCCCAAAGTCGTTGCGGACTAATCAGACATTACAGTCTGTGTAATTTATAGGCCAAATGCGCTTTCTGGTGTTGCGTCAGACGGCGGAGAGAGGGGTGGGGGGTGGGGGGGGTGAGGAGAGTAAGAGGGGAGGGAGGGGAGAAAGAAGGAGAGAGATGACCTCACATGGCATATAGCCTACTTTCGTTTTGACCTGAAGTGCCCCATTACAGCACAAGGACAGGTCTGAAGCTAAGACCAGCAGGGCCTCGTGCTCCCCCCTTGACACATGACAGACTGGTTCTTTTACGCACTATCATCGATACAAATGATTACAAATTGATCCATTTGATCGGGCCTGTGAGAAGGAGACGCAGCGAGTGTGCTGATTGGCCTGCTTCGGGAAGTCTAGCACGGCTCACTCCGCTCAGTCCATATATTTTATTTAACACTATTTATGACTTTTATATTTTATAAGCAAGTGCAAACTTAAGAAGAGATACGGCAGCTTTCTCATTATGTTTACAGTCAGCGGGCGTGTAATAAACGAGCTGGTGGAGTTAACATGCGCTATTAATTTTTCATTGCTTTTCCGTTTCGAGGCTCCCGAGCAAAAAAAGCAAAACAGCCGAAGCTTTTTTCATGGTGGATGGAGGGAAGGGAGAGGAAGAGTGAGCACTTAGACAACAGCGATGCCTCCAATTTGCCTCCAAATGATTATCACAACTCCACCACATTCTTACTAATGTTTAAAAAAGTAAACGCACCCCCTTCTACTCCCCCCCATCAGCCCCCTCCCCCCCCTCTCATCCTCCCATTTCCAAGGTAATGAAATATGGTAATGGTTTTGGACCCCCGGATTAAAGTCGTCCTACCCTGATGGAAGTTTCCTCCAAAATTTCAACCCTAAAGCAACAACAATTTGTATACATGATTGATTGTGTTTGGATTTTTTAATTGCTTATGTATTTAATTTGCAAATCGGAGAGACAAGGGCGACGACTGCAATTGACTTCTGTGGCGAAGAAAGGCGCTGGTGTCTAAATCTCAATAAATAAAAACAGACTCTGGGGGTGTGGAGGGAGAACGAGCACAACTGAAGAAGAATTTTTTTTAACAAAAAGTAACCAAAAATGATCTCTTTATGTTTTGTCCGTCTTCCTATAACTGGAGACACCAAAGAGTCAAATTGGATACTCTGCTCTATGAATGCAAAACTATTAATTTATTGTTTATCTGGAGAAGGAAAAATGCAAAAACACTCGACATTAAAATGTAAAACTAATAAAGATTGTAACATGCATATGATAATATCAAATATCCTTAGATATTCCACTTAGAGTTTTTCTTTTTATCTCAGGAGTGCCAGTTTTTTTGCTATTGTTCGCACATCCCCAGTTTCCCTGCTTTCATTTCATGTGAATATAAGGTCTTCTGTAGGAACTAAGACCACACACTAGATGGTCTATTTTAAATGAGTCTTATTATACGTGGAGAGAGAGAAAAAACAAATCAATGAAGCTCGTTGTGTGTCAGATTTGTTTGAGGGCCTAATTTATGAATACTCAGGAAACAGATGTGAAATATGAATGAGGATTAGTGTGAATGTTTCAAGGTGTTCCTCAATGCCAGTGGATTAAAGAGCAGCAGGGATCAATGCAGATTCATGAAATCATATTGTGCTAAAAAGGAAAAAAAAACACGAGTTTATTAGTAGCTGAAATCTCTGCCACAGAGATATCATGAAGTGTGTAGTGCTGCCATGCAGGCCTGACTGCTGCTTTTATATTCAGGTCAGTTTATTGGCTCACTGACTGCTTTGAAAACTCCCTAAGTTAAAGTGTGTTGATAGTACACATACTGTATGTCTTTCTGTATGTATTTGCGCGTGTGTTTAGCAGCGTGCACGCTTACAGGCACACGGCCCAAAGTCTAACGCCCCCTCGTGGATGATTTCAGTTCCACCAAAAGAAACCTTCGATAAAGTCCAAAATAAGCTCTCTCAAAATCCACTGTGGACAATATAAAAAATAAAGAAGAATAGTGTTTCGTTTTAATGAGGACGACCTGCGCGTCAGAGAGCCGTCCAGTTTATTAGTTTGGTCGTTTCTGACAGGAGTCAAGAAACCAATAAATCAAAGCGGGAATTAAAAAAAAAGAAAGGAAACGTACTCTGTAATATTATACATTGACCTTTACAGGATCAGATGCATAGCCTTGAGGTATATCAAACATGTAAGTCTTTTGAGGATAAAGTTAAGAATAAGGTTAAAGTTGTTGTTGTTGTTGTTGTAATTGTCCGTCTTTTCTGTGTCTCTGTGTTTACCTTCTGCCCCTAACGTTGTGTTAGGTATAGTCTAATATCTCTAATGATGTAACCTACTGGTTTTAACAGCAAAACATGTTAGATAATGGCCTTTAATGTGTGTAATCCACGTGTTTTATGCGCGCTGTATAAACAGCGTGGATCTGAAATGATTAAATGTCTTGAAAAAGGAAGAAGGGAAATAACACTTTTTAATTTGGCTCATGCTTTAGGCTATTTGTGTGTTTAATATTACGGGGGCGAAGCTCAGATATGCCCTCTGAAATCAGGTGGGACGAGCATGTAATGAATCCCTCTCTCTCCATACAGTTTAAATGCGGAGCTCGCCAATTGCATTTCATTAAAAAAAAACACGTCCGTTTGGATCCGCAATCAATTAGGTAATGAGTGGGAATGCATGTTTCATATGCTTACTTTCCTCGATTCTCCCCAAAGCTAAAGATTTATAACATCGTGTAGAAGGCCGGAAATTACACAGGGGCAATTGTTTTCATAATAGCCTACTTGACAGCCCTCATTCTTGTGGGCCCACAAACATGTTTAAAGGAGTCGAAAGTTTCCGGTTTTTCAATGAAATATGGACAAAATGTGATTCCCTGAAATGTTAAAATCTTTTTATGGTTAGGTGTTCTTTTGTTTTTTAACCTTTTCTCTTTTTAAATCCTTTTTTTTTTTTCAAATGTTTGAGTTCCCTCGCTTTTTCAGCCTTGCTGCAACTAATCCTCATTTAAGTAATACTCAAT